TATATCGACTCAGCTCGTCGTCCTGATCAAGAATATATATACTTTATGGGGTCTGCGATGATTCCTTCTGCCTGTTACATACTTTTCACAAAACCATTATACCCTGATTTCCCATTTTCAATGGGTTCAGGGTATAAAAAAAACGAGAGAAGAGAAACTCAGTTCCCACGTTTGGCAAACGGGAATACGGTTTTATAACCGTAACCAGACACATAGCTCTGGCCCTGAGAATATTTCGTGATGTCCACCTGCAAAAACCTAAACTAAAATTGAAGAGGAAAGAAGATCTGTTGTTGCAATCCCGTACGCCCGCTGTATATGTATCTGCTAGTCCCAGCTGCGTGCCTCACAGAGCCTCACAGAGCAGCTACGCATGGAATCGTTTTTTTTTTTCTTTCAGTGTTTTATTTTGTTGTTGCTTTCTTACATTTTGTTCAGCAGGTAACTTCGTATATATAAAGCGTTTCCAAACAATCGAGTTTTGTAAATGACAATTTTTCTGTGTGAACTGCCTGTGAGCAGAAATAGAACAAAGCCATGGCCAGGCAATGCACCTGAGCTAGTGAAAGATCACGTCTATTGTGTGGCTGGGAGAAAATAATGCTTTATACAATTATAAAAAAGTCCGCTTTAACAGCATGCTATGCCAATGACAGGGGCTAAAGAAAGCAGCTGCCAAAAAAAAAAAACCCACACACACACACACAAAAAACAGAAAATGAAAAAAGTAAAACAAGTTTGTTGCTTGAGTCTTTTGTTTTGCAACGGGTGCTCGTCAAGTTTAGTTTCTTTATTGCTTATTTAGGCTAACGCAGCCTGGTAGCCTGCCTCTACTGACAAATGAGCAGCATATCCTGTTGATCCTGTTGTAAGGAAATAATTATACGGCTCCCGAACGTGTGAACGCTGCAGCTTTAATTGCACAAATAATTAAAAGCTCATAAATTAGCGAATTGCAGCAAAAACGAAACGTGCAAATTTAATTATGGACCAACTCAATTAATTCATTAAAGCAACGGCAACGGCAACAACAACAACAGCAACGACAGAAGCAACGGGCAAAGCACACCTTATGCAGTTAAATCAATCAACGCCAAATACTTGCAGAGATGCGCCTTTTTCCCTAAGGACGTGGGTAGTGCGGCAACCGGTTTGCCGAGCCAGCCGCCGCACAGTCCTTACGCATCCTGGGGCGCACTTAGAATATGCATTATGCAACTGGCCGGCGACAGCCAGCAGCAGAAGTGCGCCTGGGCCGGGGCTTTCATAATTTATTGATTTTATATGGCGTCACATTTGTCTCTCTGTCTGTCTCTCGACACTGAGCGCTGACAGTTTTTGCCACTGCCATCGTCGTCGTCATCGTCGCAGCGACATTTTGACAGTTGCAGGTTGTCATCGCAGTGCGCCGCTCTGCTGTCACCTTAATTGCAACTGACGCATTGCCAAAAATATATTTATATATATATATACATTCAAGCCACTGGCGCATATCCTGGCTTCCTGCCTCGTTGCCGTCTCGAGATAAGCTCGACTGTCATTTCAATTTCGCAAGCTGCCAAATAAACAGCGCAAGGTGCGCTAGCCAGTCTCCCAGTCTCTTGGTATACCTGTCCCCATCTCTCACACAACATCTTTCAGTTCTCTCTCTCTCTCTCTCTCTCTCCCTCACTTGCCTTGTCACTCCTTAGGAACTACTAGTACTCTTATCCAGTTGCTGAACCACTTCTTCGCCATCAGACATGAATGATTAAATAATATGTCAGGCCTGGGGCAACCCTTTTGATATAATTCCTCGCTGTACGGCAGCATTGAGTCGAACGGAAGTTTGTGGCTTAGCTCTTTTGTTTTGTGGTAGGGTAAGCTGTTAACGGCTACCCAAATTATCATCTTAATAATTACAAACGTTGCATCATTAACTTGGCGACATTGTGGCATCAGTTGCACCACTGCAAAGTTAATTGAGATGCAAGCAATTATAAGCAAACTCTCGGACTGAACTAGATATCGATTTTAAGGGCTGATTAGATATTTGTAGTCAATAAATTTATATTATAATAAAGCTTTAAAGCTAAAATAATTTAAATTTTTCACTTAATTGAATTTAATACGTCCAACTGTTTTCTTTAGAGAAATGCTTTCAATAATGCAATTTATATTTATGAATTAAAGATATAAAGTCTCCCATTGCCTTATCTTTTGAATGGCGTATTTCGTATGCGCATTTCAAATATGACCATGGACTATCTTAAAAATATACCAAAATTAACTTTCCTTAACCATATGCATGCCGTGGCTGGCTCCAGCTGAAGGTGGCCAAAATATTTTGGGTCGCCTTTACCGTGAACTCATCTCATTACAAATTCGCTTTCCTATACATGCAACATAGTTAAAAGGTCAACCCTCTCTCTCGAGTAAGACTTTCGATGAATAGATAATAAACTAACGAAATGCAGAGGCGCTGCAATTAAATAGAAAGCATGCCGTTGCTGAGCCCAGCTGACTAACCCCTTTGACCCATTAATTCTAACGAAACCTTTCGGGCATTACGGCTAGCAGGTGCAGCGCGCGGCATGCACCAGGTTAAACAGTCTGCTAATGATATCAATAAAATGTAAATAAAACGATGCAGCGGCGCAGTCATAAACGAAATTGTGGGGCAGCTCCGAATATGCCACAATTAAAATGCAATTTCGTGCAAATCCTTGATGCAACTGTATAACTGTAAATGCAGCCCAGCGTTGTACCTGCAACTCGACCTGTTGCAGATGCCTATCACAATTTGGCTGGTTGCTCATTAACGGCAGCGCAGCCGAGCGAAGCGTATTTATTTTTATTAATTTTAATAGCGAATTGAATGCATTCGTATTCGTTTTTGTGTCGCCTGCAACATGCAACATGCAACTGCAGCAGCAGAGCCGCGTGGCAAGTGCAGCGTGACCAATGCCCAAAAATTGAACTTTCGACTAGGGAGTGAATATCAACTCGATGCACGCGCTGCTCAACCCTTTAGCGTATCGAAATGCATTCGAAATGAACCAAAAATACGGCGAGCGTTAAATTTTGTTAGCGGTTCATTCGGCTGCCCCATTCCCATCCCCATCCCAATCCTCATCCTCATGCTCATGCTCGTCCTCATCCCTGTCCTGTGTTCGATTTCTACGCTTTCTACACTCACTCGCTCGGCGGACGAACAGGTGTAATGATTTTGCTTTGCACCTTGACTGCTGCTTCCGTTTCGATAGTTTCAGTTGTTGTTGTTGCTGTCGTCGTCGTCGATAGCTTTTTGGCTGAGGGTAATTTGTGTGTCTTTACTTCCTCACCACAAAAAAATAATAAAAAAAACATTTACAATTTTATTTATACAGGGTGTCCCACGCAACAATCTTTGAGCTTATAATTTGATTACAATTGGCGCCTTGGAGTTAGCCTTCTCAGCTTTTGAGTAGAAGCTTAGAGACATGGAATTATTAAACATTTACTATATATTCACCCAGCTCCTTCTTCCGCTTGTGCTCTTCAGATTCAGCGTGCATAAACATTGAAAGTGCATAGTGCAAAATTGGAAGCACGACAAATAACTTTGGAAACGTCTGCCATTTAATATTCATGTTTTAACGTACAATTTATAAATACAAAATATCGAAACTTATGATGACAGAGATATCGTTTAACATAGACTCTTATTAAATACTAATGAACTGAAACTCCAGGCACCCTGTATATATTTGCCCCTGTTTAATCGTTAATTTCATACTAAGGACTTTATTATCGGCATTGTATCGTAAGCGATACAAAGCAGCAGCATTTAAGCACACTGAGAACAAATTCATAGTACTTAAGAAAGTTTCTAGAAAAATTCAAAATTTTTTTTATTTATTATATAAAGAGAATTTCTAGCAAAATGTATTTATTTACTTATATATTTATTTATTTATACAAAAGAATTTCTAGAAAAATTTAAACTTTATTCTAAAAATTAATTTATTAAAATTTAATTTTATAATTCTCTATAGAAAATTAGTTTCTCAGACATTTGTATATATTCAAAAATTATTTTCTAGAAGTATATCCATGAATTTGTTGCAGTGTATGAAAATATAATATGTACAACCGCAAGAGAACTTCCTCAATATCAATCATTACGCCTGCTATATTTCCTACCCCCATATACAACTTTCTTCATAAAGCATTTATGTAGCCCCAAATGCGCAAAAAAAAAAAAAAAAAAAAAATGCCATTGCGGGCAGGTTGCTGTGAACAGGATCGACAACTGCAATTTTCAGGTGTTAGCCGAGTGGACGGGACAACCCTCTCATTAGACAGGCAAAAATGATATATTTAATCCGTTCGGCCGGCCGTTCGCTCATATGGGCAGTGAAGCGAATGCTCGTCTTCGATGCGATATAACGCGATACAACAAAAAGGCTCGCATTGATAAACCTGATATGGAACACACTTAAGGGCTTAACTTGGGTAATCTGCAGTTTGTTCAAGTAGAAACAGCAGCGACAACACAACCACAACACCAACCGGCACCGAGACTGGGCCAGCGAAATTAAAACATAAGTGTGCGTAAGGTTTATAAACATTAAGGAGACGCAGCACTTGGGCAACTTGAGCACAAAGCGGGGCTAGCGGCTGGGGACTGGCGATTGGGGGAACGAGCAGAGGGACAACCACAACAGATCGCAGATGCAGATCGTTGGCAGTTACCGGCGAATCGTCGCTCTTGTGCAGGTGGATTTCTCAAGTGGCTGCGTCCGTTCTCTTCTGACTTTGTACAAGTATCTGCATATGCATACATTTATGGCATGTCTGTGTGTGCGTGTGTGTATGTGTGTAGGCAACAGTGAAGCCAGACAGAGATACATTAGTACTCACGTTATTTGAAGTGGAACAAGTGCTGCTTCAACTTTGCCAGATATTTCACTAAGGCCTAAAGACTTTAGAAATTGATTTCCAATATTTTACTTCTACTTCATTCAGTCGCAGCTTCCTTGATTTTAATTACATTGATTGATAGATTTCATTTTGTAATCCAATACGATTTCCTTACTCATTAGCCAAAGCAAAATTTACGATTTGTCCATAAAAAATCTCATAAATTCCAACAGCAAATATCAGTTGTGAATTTGGCTAAGCAAATACTGCATATATTCAATAGTTGAAGGAAGTCAGACGGATATCCCTTGGGAGCTGGGTCGGTTGTAAGTCGCATTATTCATGGCTGCTCAAGATTTGGCAGCTAAGATTTCGTTGCTTCTTAGCTGACTTTCTGATGTCTGGAGGGAAATGCAATTGTATGCGGTGTCAAAAGTCGCACAGCAATCCATCAATTTAACAGCCATGGAAAATCAAGAGACGCGAGCACAAAGCGTAAAGCAGCCAAATCGTAAAATAAATTGTAGAAAATATATCAAGCAAAGGACATTAGGGACACAGTCGTTGCCCTAGGGTGGCTACACTCTGCAGGCATCAAATGATTTCTTTCCCTGCCACATTTCTATTCTTTAGCAGCGACAATGAAACACAAAACTCATGTTGCAATTGAAAACACGGGATGTTGCCGGGGCTCTTTGTGGCATGTTTGCGCAATGTTAACAGTGCTGTGCAAACTTTCAGTTGAACTGACGCGCAGAGACGACGGTCCAGCAGCTGCCAAGAAGTCAACATGCTGCGCCCCAATCTCTAAGCGCAACGCGTGCCATATGTCAAACTAACTAAAATAAAGCAACACAAAAAAAAAAAAACGACTCATAAATACCAAAGACTCCTGCCAGGCAGCCAGACTAACGGTAATTAAAAACCACACGCTTAACATTTATAAAAATGCATTCACCAAAAAATTTGAGCTCCAAGCTGCTGCCCTGCGCCAGTTTTTGATTGGCTTCGCGGCGGCCCCTTGAATGTCCCCTTAAAAAACAGATTGAAGAAAAGTGAAACGAATATACGCAGAGTCCTGGCAGCCGGCGCAGTTCATCAACTGCAACAACTGTCGCCCGGGCATCAGGTTCACTTTACGCTTCGCTCTTCCTCTTCTTCGTCTACAGATTTTTATAAACATTTTTTTTTTTTGTTATATTTTGACTCGTGTGTGGCGGCGACAACAGCGCCAAGATACAACTTGATAAAATTAAAAAAAAAAAAAATTATTTTTATATATATTATAAATTACTATTAATAAAAATAATAAAAATAAAACTATTCACAGAAATAGTAAAAATTAATTAATTGCAAGGCTGTGTATTGCTTATTTCAATAATGAAAAAATGTTAGATTGGCTTTAGGAGACTTCCGATTTTATTTTCTCAGGTAAGTCAATGCATCAATTACCTACAGATTTACCATTCAATAAACGCGTAATGAGTTTTTATTTAAAAATAAAAATAAATTAATAATAATAATAATAATAATAATACATTTACAAATTGAATTATTTACCTATAAAACATTTCTCTTGAACAATGTCAATTGCTGAGGTCGTCGTAGTAAATATGTAAACCAACTCGAGGCATGTTGATGGTCGTGAATTCAGTGGAAATAACAAATGAATTCGAACGCTTTTAAAATGTCGCCTAGACAACGCCCACGCATAACAATGAAGTTGTAGGCAAAAAAAAAAGTAACAAAAACAGCAAATAGGCATTTGATGGGGAATATTATTGGCATGCACGCCCAGAAGTGTCTAGCTAAAGCCAAACACACCCAACTAGAGGAGTATCCATGTCTGTGTTGTGCTTGAAAATTGGAATTTTCCAAGGAAAGCAACAGTTGGGTCTGCGGCCAGCTCAATGCCTATGCGTCTGCTGTGATTGCTGCCATTTTGCAGATAATCAGCGTAGCAGCAGCAGCAGCAGCAGCAGCAGCAGCAGCAGCAGCGACAGCAGCTGCCACAAGAACAACAAAGAGGAAAAAACGAAACAACAAAACTAAATCTCTTTGGCATGGTAAAAAAAGAAATCCATTTGGACTAACAACTGCAGCCTGTTGCGCTCGCACAGGATGCACGGGAATGCAGCGAGGCCTGCATCTGCATTATCCTTGAAAACGTACCTGCTGTGAGCACCAACTGGCAAATGTTTCCAGCATTCGTTTCGTTTGTTGCATTCGGTTTGGGTTCGCCTGGGTACAGGACCCTCTCGCCGGCAATCTGTTGCGCGCTGTGCACATGTCTCTGATTCTGGTGTTTTGATTCGGCACTGAATTTGATGCCCACGCAAGGTGTTCCAGTGACCCTGTTTGGTGCGCTGCCAGGCTGAACAACATTTGGTCCACATGCACTGCAAATGCCCTTTGTTTTCGCTGAACAGGCGAGTGTGTAGAAATTTCGAGTAGCAAAGTGAAGTGCATGGATATTTTGTAGAATTTGTGAGTACAGTTGCCCAGCCAATTAGTAGCCAAAAAAAAACGGAATATGTTTTGTGTTAGCCAGCCACCCACACACACTGCATGTATGTATATAAAGCAATTGCCGCGCCCACATCTGTATTCGAAAGCTAATAGAGTTGTCATTGCAGCACGATTGAGCGGTTAGGCAAACATTTTCCCACTGGCGGCACGTACAGCGATCCGGCAATGAGGAGGCAACAATTACCAACGGCAGTCATTACAGTGGCAACAAAAGCTGGCCATAACAAGCGAGTGGCGCTATATAATCATAGACGCCGTCAGAAACGTCCACGTCCACATCCACAGCGGACAGCTAGCCAGTTAGCCAGAGACTCAATGGCCAAACGTGGACGCAGACTGCACTCTAAATCAATTAACAGCACGTCAAAAGTGTTGAAAATTGGACCAAGTCGTCGCGACGGGCAAGTGCAAGGCGGTGCTGGCTGGCTCTCTTAATAGATTAACCGGGTGTCGGTGTTGGAGTTGAAGTTGTAGCTGAAGACGGCGCACAAAGACAGAACGAGATCGAGCCACGTCCGTGAGATGGAAAGTGAGGTGCAAAATGTGTAGCAACCTGTCTGCGTTGAAGGCTAATCAGCATGCAAATAATGTTGCCGCCTCTGCAAGAAGATTAAAGAGCCATGTAGCTGTGATAGCCGGCGCAGCCAAGTCGAGCGCTCTATCTACGTGCTGGCCAAACCAGTTACAGGTCGTTGAGAAAATTATTGAGTGAAATGAGTTTGTTAACACCTAGCGACGAGAGGGCGTTACCAACATGGACCGATAATTAAGCATGCGTCTCGTTGGCGTTACAGTAGGCATTGAAATGACCACCCCCTCCCCCACCCTCGCCGACCAATATCAAACTATCGGCCTGTTTGATTGGTCCATTAGCAGCAATATGCGATATTTAAGTGTAATTATGACATCCACTAAATGGTAAGCAACTCCTTCCATAAGGAACATGACAAGATATCTTCATTAGCCCCCCAGCTCGTAGCTGGCATTGTTATTGTTATGGTTATTAGCCTGGATGGTAGTTGGTTTATTTGTTTGCCATTTCGATTGGCATTCACTTGCCACATTGCCACACATCAGATCATCAGATACAGCTGCTGTTACAAATCGTAGAAAACTGTGGCAGCATTTTTCGTTACGTTTGGTTGGTTGGCCAGCTCGGGCCTTGCGTTTGTCCGGCTTTTCTTCACTGGCCAACAAGTTTTTCACTTTTATTTATGATGAAGATGTCAATCTGGCGGCCTATTGCCTCTGTCGGCATGTGTTTGTTTTTCCAATTGCCTGCCTGCCTGCTTCTCGGAGGTGGCTGTCAGTGTCACTGTCACACAGACGAGTTTTCCATTTCGCCTCCAGGCCTGGGAAAAGTTCACTCTACAAAAAAGTTAAGCACACATTTGGCTCAGGCAACAAACGATGTTGACTTTTTTAATTGGATCTCGAGGCTGATAATTGATTTCCAATCACGAGAATCTCACAGCTTTTTTTTTTTCAAATTACAATCTCTATATATGTATATATATATTTGCATTTTAAAATATCAAATATCAGTCATCAGCAAACAGATTAAAAATATATCTACACAGTGTATTTAGTAGAATAATTAGGCAATTATATGAATTGATAACTGCTCATCAATGAAATTGAGCAATGAGCACTTTGGAGCTATTTGGAGACTGTTTGAAATAAATTTCATTCAGTGCTCTAGAGTCATCGGGAATTGTCGATATGCGCAATTTGTGGGTCATTTTAACCATATTTACAATTTGTATGCAGCATCAATTCCCATACAATGTAAGTAAACGTAAACGAAAACCATGAAGAAGCCATTGATTAATTTGAAATTTCAATAGAATGCATCGACAATCAGATTGACAAATTTTATTTGTCAGTCCCACAATGAATCGTGGATCTCTGTCCACGTATGTCGACTAAAGGCAATTAATCGTAATAAGATTGTGCTCAACTTTAATGCCACAATGCACAATACTTGTTACGAATTATCGACTACGCTTCAGCTTTATAAAAAAGCAAATGGATATAAGCCTTGGCTTTACAACAGCTCTGTGGACATTTGTAAATTTACTAGAAAGCCCTATAATCCATTTGCTATAATGATATATAAGGTGATGCGACAATATTCCAACATGAACCATACCTGTCCTTATGGGGTGAGTGATTTGCTAAAAATTTCTACATGTACATTCTAACAATATTTTAATTATTTTTAGGGCCCGTTAATTATTACTGGCCTGCATGTGAAATATTCAGACCTTTTACCGTTTCCATCTGGCGATTATTTAGCTAAGCTAGACTGGTATTGCTTCAAGAGGAAACAACTATCGACAGATTTGTATTTTAAATCTGACGAAGGTCTTCTTAAGTCATAACAGATAAATCCAAAGTTTACTTCGCAGGAAACAATGTTGACATTTCAAATTTAATTCAATTTGATTTCAAATCAATTTTGGCTGATGGAATTTTAACTTTTAACCCTATCTTAATGTGCTCAGTTTGTTGTTGTTAAATATCAAATATAGATCCGCAAAGAGTTTAAACATTTTTAAGCAGTGTATTTAGTAGAGTAATTAGGCAATTATATGAATTGAACAGTTATCCATGAAATTGTGGGCACTTTTGGGGTATGATTATTTATAATCATATTGATAATTTTCACCACAATTTAACTTTGATTTTCATAGATCGATATCGACAAATTCTTATTTACAAATTATATTTGACAGACTAGATAATATCTCTGTGAATGCCCATAGATGCAAAATAACTTATAATTCACTTCTTATAATGCTTATTAAGATGATACCATTTTATAAATAAAATCACACATGGCCTTATATAGTGAATCACTGGCTAAGAATTTTTTTTTATAACTTGTAATATTGTATATATATTTTGAGGGCTCGCTGACCGTTATAAATCTTTACATCGAGTATGAAACAATAATAATATCATTTCCATCTGGGGAACACTTACAAATGGATTGTTTTTTTTCCTGCAACTGAGTGTACTCTAAATCTTGAGTTTAGTACTAAGAAACTTGTATTTTTCTGATATATAATACAAATTACTTGTATAATAATAATAATTTGAAATACATATTTGTGATTAATCCAAAAACTGCGAATAAATAAATATCATCAAAGAAAAAAAATACAATAAAATAAATTTACGTTTGTGCTCTAATGAAAAGTAGTCGGAAAAAGGTATTAGCTATCCCGCTCTGGTCATTATCCAATACGAGTTGTTGAACTTCAGCAAACATTTCCGAAATGCAAATGGCCATAAAATAAAAGAGAATTTAAGATAAACAACAAGTTTTACGACCAAATTTCATTGAACGTTTACGAAATGCAAAGGTAATTTCAAGAGCCCATTGCCAGCTCGTACGCCCATACGGCTCCCGTTCTTCTTCTTCTTCTTTTTAGCGGCACGTGCTGCGCCTACAAATGTTGTCCAATTGCTGCGGCGGCAACGGTAGTCCAGAATACATCAACATTGCCGAAAAGCGCGGCACGTATGTGTCACCGCCTTGGCACACTCACGAAATCTCTTGTGTGGGGCCGTTGGATGTCAGAAGCCGTGAAGAACCGAAAGCGAGACTCGAGAGGCGGACTATCGACGTACTGGGTCTGCCACTGCGACTGAGGCGTGCGGCTATTTTATGTCAAAATAATTGTTAATCCGCAGGGAGCAGCAACTTTTTGGGAGCTTCGTCATCGTTTCGAAGGCTTCAGCTACGGATACGTCTACGGCTGGCTACGGCTACGTCTTCAGCCTCAGATATTTACGAGTAGCTGTTGCACTCGAAACGTGACAAGCTTATGAAGATTTATGGGGTTCGGACAGCCGCCCGTCGACATTGTCGCCATTTCCATTCTCACGATCGGTGTTCGATCGACAGTTTTTTGGTTTTTTGGTTTTCTTGTTTCTTTTGTTTCTTATTGTTCTACGGCTTTTTGTTGTTGATTTGGAATTTTGTTGTACAATTTGGTTTGGTTAATTTAAGTACAAAGTACGTGCAGCATTGAAGGCATTGATTTTTAATTTGTCCATTAAAATGCAATCATCACGCCCGACCGGACTCGACTCGCCCGATTCCCAGTTCCCACATCTCGTGCCGCCGTGCTCATTTTCGACAGTGTTGTCTTGGCCAGCGCCATTGCCTTAGCAAGAAAATTAAGCAGAAATTATGGCACCATAATTTAATCATTTTATCTCCTACTGCCTGTTACATTTAAATTTTGCCCACTCTCAGCTGTGATCAGGCATGCAGGCTGCATTTCTCGATTCGCAATCAATTCGCATCGAGCATTTTAATAAACATTTTGAAGTGCTCCATTTTCGTTGCTTCAACAATTCCAAATGACATAGCTGTGAGTTGACTTCAAATTGAATTCAATTGTGAAATCGTTGGTGATTTCATAGACCAACTATGGGCGTTTCACCGGGCCAATCATTGGCTCTATTATGATTCAAATATTTCGCATTATATAATTATTAAATCGCTGAGATGTCTCCACATCAAGCATGAAGGCAAGTCTTGCTGTTTGACTTAGTCTCTGACTGTCTATAAATTTCGATTCTAGCTAACAGTTAGTCAAGTTCACTGATTTCCATGGCCCAGAAGCCCTGATTTCCGTTATGCTTTGCTTATTTAGCATAGGCGTCAACCGCATTTCCTTTTAGGGCGGAACGGCTACAGGAGAGACACATGTTTGACATTATCAAGCCGCAGCATCCACGACTGCTGGCATTTTTAATGATCAATGCGCAGCCAGAACAACATGTTGCACTGGGCCAGTCAGAAGGAGAGAACAAAATATGGAAATAAATTCAAAATGAGCTGCGAACAGTTGTGATTTCGAGTAGTATTTGCCTTAAGGGACAACTGTTGCACAGGCTGGCAACTGGAATTGGGTTCGCAGATCACAGATCGGTGATCTGGGACTGCGACTGCGACTGGGACTGGGACTGGGACTGGGACTGGTATTATTTCCGCTTTTTGTTCACCGTTTGTTTCTCTCATTCGGTTTTGTTTTGATTCTTGAGCCGCGACTGCTGCTTCCGCATCCTTGTTGTTCTCAGTTGTTGTTGTTGCACTTTAGTGGATTTTTCGCATCTGTCGCTGAAACAGGTACAGAATCAGGATCAGGCACCTTTCATGCTGATCGTTTGCTTCCTCTGCGCCCATTTTTGCAGACCGGAAGTTTTTATGTCTTTTGTAACTAATCGTCAAGGATCACGGATTTCGGTAAACTACAGCATGGCGGGTGGTTAATGAGAAATTTCCAAAATATTAGTTACACACTGTTTGCCCCGACAGCTCGCAGAGAGGTCGAACAGGTTTCCTGTTCAGCCAAATTTGCATGACCGGAAGTTGTTGCTCTCTTCGTTTACACCAGGGTGAAAGGTGATGCCAGCGATCTGTTTGAGATGCTCCTCAACAATGGATAGCAAAATTGTGTGTCAACTTCTTAAGCCGATCTTGGGACTGGATGTTTTTTGTGTATAACAAAATCGGATCCTGAGATAGGCGAGAACTGCAATTCGAAAATCAAATACTTAGATTTCAACAACATCAAAAGCTCTTTGATATAAAAGGTGCAAGTATACTCAACAGGGGATGTCCTTATCAGCCTTCAATCAATCCTTTTAATGTCGGTAATAATAGCTTAATTTTTTCTTCAATCGCGAAACCATTAAAAAACATGAAGAAAACAAAATATGAGCAACAGAGTTGACTGGGGCAACAGTTGAAATCAAGATAAGCTGGGCAACAGGATAAAGCTGCACTGTGACGAGGAGAAGCGCTACAACATTCACAATGCATTGAAAATTATGATATAAATTATACAATGCACATTGCAACATTTAAAATGTACGAGCAGCGCAGGCCGGCTGGCCAGGACGAGAATCGAGCAGGACAATAGCGTGTCCAACAAGGACTACCTGCTGGCTGTCAGTTTGAACCTGCCGATGCTTATCGACGGCTGAAGCGTCTCAAATGAGTCTGGCCCCAGCGTTCCGGCAAGGTGAGGACTTTGTCTTGCCAGCGTGACGCGCGATTAGAGATTAGAGCCAAGGACGAGGCCAAGGTACAGCCGGCCGGCCCCTATAATCGCTAAGAGTTCCATTAAAAATGAGAATGTCTTGCTGTTAGACAAATGCCTTCATAGAAAAATGATTGAAAACAAATGATCTCACAATGGAGTTCTCTATAAAAAAAAGAAAGTTGTGGTTAAGAACTGAACTAATGTGATAAGAGATTATTATTATTATTATTATTATTATTATTATTATTATTATTATTATTATTATTATTAATATTATTATTATTATTTTATTATTATATATAAAATGACGTTGATATTAAAAACTTAAGTTGAAGCTAAGTTCTAGTCTTACTTTAGGATTCCTTGACTTGTACTTCTGTTAGGCAAAAATAAACTTTAAATATTTTATGCATTTATTGTATTTATTGCAAATATATTTCATATAATATATATGCTTGCAATCAGTAGAATCCCTTATCCTTTCCATTGCATTCCTAAACAAATATTTATATATTGTTATATAATATCAGCTTCAACTCAAATTCTGAACAGTAGCCGATTGTCAAAGGCTTAAGAAAACAGGAGTGCGAATTTGAGGCAACAATAGAAGGATAAAAGTGACGGTCCGCTAGCTAGGCTAATCGCTATTGTGGAGCATGTTTACGTAAATTGCAGGCGCTGTTCGCTGTTTGCTGTTCGCTGTTTGCCAATTGTCGCAGAGGACAAAGGACACTTTTGGGATTTGAAAGGATTAGAGTGGAGGGCTTGCAGCTGGCCGTGTGACAATATGTGGGTGCTACATAGAGTACGCCAATTGGCGAGCATATGACGTTGAAAACTTTCAAGTTGCATATGCTGATTGGAGAGCAGCTGATGCGGCAGGAAATATACCCAAAAATTTCTATGAAAAAAATAAGAGAATAAGTCATAATTTTTTTAGCCGTCTTTGGGTACGTAGAAAAACTGGTATAATAAGGACACGCACGCTCCAAAGTGAAATGACAGGATCAGCGCCAGTGACAGCTGCTGGCGACAGCACATGCCGTTCAACTAAAGCAGGATACGCATATCCTGCGTTTAAAATTCGAGATTTTTTCTATTAAAAAATCATGCGCAGACGGCACGCGCTTGACCTTGACAGTGTTGCTAGGACCAGGCTCTGGGCTGACTCGCACTAAGCACTTTGGGACTGTACATGTGCAGTCAGTCAGCGCAGCCGGCAGCTAGTGGGAGAGAGTCAAGCGTTAAGGACACGAACACATGTACAGAGGACAGGACAGGGACTACCTAGCGTCTTCGCATGCTGCTTACATTTTTTTATGTAGCTCTTCGTTTACTTGTTTTTTTGTTCTGTGTAAGTATCCTGTTCCAAATGTCCTGCGTGTGCATGCGTACGACAGCAACAACAAGAAGAACAACAACAGCTACAATGCCCAGAGAAGACAACAAAAAATTGAGCGGGGCAGATGTTTCCTTAGCAGGCTGCAAGCAAAAATAACACCACGCATGATCAGCTCTTCTCTTCTCTCTATCTATCTCTATCTCTCTCTCTCTTACTCTCTCTATCTATCTCCTGCTGCTTTTTATGCTTAGCTGTGTTTTTTAGTGCGTCTCACTGAAATTTTGGAGCACGGCTACGCACGCTGAACGATTCGAGCTAAAGGTTCGAGTAACTGGCGCACAATGCTGTCAACTTTTTTCTAGTAAATCTGCTGACTATTGTTTCCGCCTCACTGAGAGCAAGGAATCATTATCATGCTTAGGAGCATAGGCATTGTGCGGGTGCCTGCGTTGTCTTCCAGTTGCTTTCAATCCAAAATATATCTAGTTCTTAGCTTGTCTGACTTCACTTCGATGTTTCAATGGGGTTCGTTTTTTTTTTTATGGAGTACTCAAGGTCTTCATTTGCTATGCAGCTCAGGCAGCACGGCACATGCTGGTCAATTTCATTCCATTGATAGACAAAAGAACTTTTAATGATATATATTTCCCATCTGCAAAACTATGGTTTATATTCAGGAATTTGATATACATATGTAGCAGCAAATACGAATGAAATAATGAATAAATTGATGGTAAAGCAAAAAGCCAAAATTAAACAGAGAAACATTTTAAATTAAAAAGAGTTTGTTATTGTTATTGTTGGTTTTTTTTTATAAGTTATGAAAGTAGATAAAATTTAGTATTGTACTTATTGTATTACATAATATTTATTATATATTATACGCATTATCCTGTCAGCTATATTCTATATTATATTAAATACCACTTATACCCAAATACATTTCCATATGGGCATATATAATATTCAATATCGTATATCACAAATTTTGTATCCTATATCCTATACACAGTAGAGTAGGTTATCATCTCTTATATAAAATATATCCCTTACTTAACTAAACCATATCAATCCTTAGTCCAAGCAGATGATTCTTGCACTGCTCAACATAACCCTCTATAATAATACATCTTATTCATAATGACATTTAATAGATATTCATTAATCCACAGACAGCTGGAATTTTTGCCTAGCCCCACAATATTTGGCCAATATAAACCTAGGCGCTCGACAGCTCAATCGATGCAAACAAAGAAAAACCAAACACAAATTAACCATGAAAATGTATGAATAAACCCTTTGCCAATTGTGCGCAATACTCAGTGGAATTTATACAATTTTGAC